CTCTCTCTCTCTCCTCTCTCTCTCTCCTCTCTCTCTCTCTCTCTCTCTCTCTCTCTTCTCTCTCTCTCTCTCTCTCTCTCTCTCTCTCTCTCTCGTCTCTCTCTCCCTCTCTCTCTCTCTCTCTCTCTCTCTCTCTCTTCTCTCTCTCTCCTCTCTCTCTCTCTCTCTCTCTCTGTCTCTCTCTCTCTCTCTCTCTCTCTCTCTCTCTCTCTCTCTCTGTCTCTTCTCTCTCTCTCTCTCTCTCTCTCTCTCTCTCTCTCTCTCTCTCTCTCTCTCTCTCTCTCTCTCTCTCTCTCTCTCTCGCTCTCTCTCTCTCTCTCGCTCTCTCTCGCTCTCTCTCTATCTCTCGCTCTCTCTCTCTCTCTCGCTCTCTCTCCCTGATTCCCCCTTCTCACTCCATACCTATAGTTACAAGTAGTATCTGTCCTCCCGGTGTCTTTTTTATTCTCTCTATCGATCCGTCTATCTAGCCTTAGCTACAATGATTGTACTTCGAAGTACTTCATCTATCTATATGACCATGATCTAACTGAGCTCATTGTTATGAATGTCCTGGCGTTCCAGGTGAACTTTCTTATCGCTCAACAGGTGTATTGCTTGTATACAGTAGGGCATCGGGTGTGAACTGGTATGCGCCCAAGGAAACCTTTCAAAGCCGGGACACAAGTGACATCGTTTTGTGGGAATCTTTAGATGGTTTGCCCTCCAGTGCGTAATGAATAACAAGTACTGAAGTAGTTGAACCCAGTGGCTGGACCTGTACGTGTATAATAATCACTTCTGTCCTCAGATTGTGTATACTGTATACTGTATACTTATGGTTACGACGTCACACAGCTGTATTGTCCTCCGATCCTTGGCACACAGTGAGACCAGGAATCCTTCTCCACTTGGTTTGCACCAGGGATTTGTTTATGGCTGCTGTGACAAGTACTGTGTGTTCAGGATGGATCGTGCCAGGAGGTGGATGTGGCTGCCCAAAGTACTCCATGGTATAGGGTACAGAGAGGTCACCACCTCCTCACAACCGCGCGTCTCTGCACAATACTAATACTAGAACTCAATCGCTTCAATCGTTGACATCATTGAAACCGAGACAATTCGCAGCACTCGTTACCAATGTCACTGCACGTTTTATTCCAAAACCGGGTTTATTTAAACAATCTCTCTCTCTCTCTCTCCCTCTCTCTCTCTCTCTAGGTTACCAATGTAGTTATGCACTACAGAAGAACAAAGGGGCAAGGCTAGTCTGAGTTTCATGCTTATGCAGCCAGTCATCAGACAACAACAGCCTGTGTAATATCGACGAGTGCCAGGTACACAGTACTCGAAGCTCACAAAGGTTCCGTAGAAAGGTCAACCCAGTTCGGCCATTAGGCAATTGTGTCGGGCACAGATTTCCATGCTGACACTTGCACAGCCGATTCTACGTCACTCGAACCAAAGAAGAATGTCGAAAGAACGGAATACATGTACATGTACATATACAACCATCTACAAAAAAGCTTCTTTCTGCTTGGCATTGTTTGCGCCAAGTGAGCCTTAACCCCTAGTGCGAACAGAGTGCATTTCCTTTCTGAAAAGGAGTTTGTCTGTGCCGCTCGGGGAATTGAGGACATCATTACAACTGCACGTTGGGGCATTGTTTTAAAACAGCAGCGCCCAGATAGAAATATTTGCGCCCAGGAATGTGCAGGAATGTGCAGGAATGTGCAGGAATGTGCAGGAATGTGCAGGAATGTGCATGCGAATATAGTCTGAGTATACTATAGACACAAGGCAGAACAACAGAGACCAACAATGTTCTCATGACTCCGAGTTTCGTGTTCAAAAACACTCGTCAAGAGGCTATCCGTAGTCATAGATAGGAATGCGCACGTACTGGTAATCTCGTTGACCTGCATACAATTATGTGCATATCTCACTAAGTAAACAAAAGATTCCCCCATTGGAAAGTGTCAATTGTTTCACAATGCTCAATC